GAGAGAGTTCTTCTTCTTCCTCTTCTAAGTCCACCATCTCTTCTCACCCTCTCACCACCTGACTTCTCAGACTACGACAGAGAGAGAAAGAGTTGTGACTTGAGACCTGACGACATTGGATCCAGACTTGACATTTGGGATTCAGACATTTCGACGAGGGACTATTTGGGCTGTGCCGAAGACTTGGTGTTGACGACATTCCCATCTTCCCCTCCTCTTCGTCTAACCCCCTTCTTCTTCGTCTGTGTATGGTAGGGGCTGGCGCAGTCTTCCTGTGTGAAGCGCCAGACCCCATTCACCCCGTGTAACGATGATGATGATGTCTGTTCAGGGCTGCATTGCAATATTGAGTTCGGATCACTGGTATCTAAGTCTTCCGCTGTGCTATCTTATACTTTGTATTGAGAGGTCGGTTCTTGTTCTGGTCTGCACCGTTACAGTATGCAACAGTTTGCTATTTTATTAGTGTTTAAACTTTAAGTTCAAACTTAAAAATGTATTTTTTTTTCTAATTGCTGAAAATGTTGGACGCTGATGTGGCAGGGTGCCCGTATATGTACTCGCACATGTTGGCCCAGAGGAACAAAGCGTTGTGGCAGAAGCCAAAGACGAATTGAGGACAAGATGGTCCCCAATCATCTGAACGTTTTCGGTTTTCGGGACGGGAGGTCGTGGGAGGGTTTATGAGTCTCAACCTTCCACTTTCTCTCCTCTCCTCTCCTCTCCTCTCCTCTCCTCTCCTCTCCTCGCCTCTCCTCGCCTCTCCTCTCTTCTCCTCTCCTCGCCTCCCCTCCTCTCCTCTCCTTTCCTCTCCTCCTCTCTCCTCTCCTCGCCTCCCCTCTCCTCTCCTCTCCTCTCCTTTCCTCTCCTCCAATCTCCTCTCCTCTCCTCTCCTCTCCTCTCCTCTCCTCTCCTCTCTTTTTGGGATTGGAAGGCGAGATGGTGGGCTATCGCCAAATTGATGGAGGAGAAGGGGGATGACGAGACTGTGAGCGGAAATGAGGGAGAAATGGGGGATTGTTTCCATCAGCGTTCATTGAATTTGGACTGAATTTTGCTGTATTGAAGTGTATTCCCTTTCCTTTTGGATTGCGAGATTGTCCTCTCATCAACAATTCATTGAATGTGGACTGGATTCTGCATTCATAGCAATATTTTGTTCGAATGCAAAAGTGCTGAAGAAAGGGAGGGGGACCAGAGGGTGATATCAGTGGGAAGCTGCGAACTGGTTTTCCATCAATATTCATTGAATCTGGACCGAATTCCGCATTCATATATCAAGATCTCAGTTCTTCTGGTACTCCCTGCAACATATTTAGGAAAATAGAAGTAAAATTAGTGAATGCATTTTCTTAAATTATTTCGTTTGTTACGAAGAGTTAAAAGTGAAAAAAATGAAGTATGATCAAAGAGAGAAAAGACTTTACGGCGGAAGTTTACGCGACTTTATAAGACCTTTTTCTTTTTTTTTTCTTTTTTTTTTTCTTTTTTTTTGGATGTTGTCTAGTCAAATGACTCGAATCGGCGATGGTTTCACTTTTTCAATCCATCAGTCTTGCTCCTTGTCGCTTTGCTTTGCTTTGCTTTGCTTTGCTTATCTTTGTCTTGATATGTATCTTATATTATCGTTATCTTTATCGTTTTCGTATCTCTTTTATTTATAATTAATCGTCTCTCTTTTATTTATAGTTAATATACGATGTATCATACGTCTTATGCTATCATATGTTATCTTTAGCGTATCTTTATCTTTATCTCATTATTATCGTTATGTTTTTTCTTTTTGTCATCTAATTGTTGTCTTATCGTTGTCTTTGTCATTATCTTATCGTATTGTTATGAATTTGTAATTTTTTAATCTTATATGACCTTATCTACTCGTTCTCTCATCGCTCTCTCATCTTATCTCATCCTGTCCTGTCCTGTCCTATCCCATCTTATCCGCTCTCTATTTAATATTCTATCTTATCTTTTATCTTTCATCTTTTATTTTTATTTTTGTTTTTATTTTTACTTTTACTTTTTATTTTTATTTTTTATTTCTATTTTTATTTTTATTTCTATTTTTATTTTTATTTTGTGTTTATTTTTACTTTTTACTTTTTAGTTCTATTTTTATTTTTATTTTTATTTCGATTTCTTTTTTATTTCTTTTTTTTTTCTTCTTTTTTTTTTTTTTTTTGGGGGGGGGGGGAAATTTGAACTTTGATTACCAATGAAAGCAGGCCGGGAATCCCTCTCAAACAACCCAGAAAATCTGGGGACCCATACCCAGCTTGGGCACATACTGGAAACCGGGTCCAGCATCGGAGCATCCCATTCCTTTCTACGAACCTAGCTCTTCTTCCAAAAAGGTCAAATTCAAAATTCGACACCACTATACCCTGTGCCAGAGCTGGCCACTTCTAGCCTTGCAACTTAAGCTTGAAGGCATAGTTTTTTTTTTTTTAACCAAAAAAGTTGAAAAAACCCAAAACTCAAAATCCTTCAAGGGAGGGCCGAAAGGACGGCATTTGTGTCTAAGTTCATCAAATAACAGTGTTTTCCAGTTACGAGGACACAAGCCTGGGCAAAACACCAGCTTTGCTTCTTGCGCAGACACCAAATGACTGCCCCATGCCCATGTGCGAGCAAACCACAATGGACCCTTCTTTTGCCAATCTGCTATAATGATAAGCCTGATTTGGGTTAGGATAAGCCTTTTCTGTTTCTCTAAGCAAAGAGGTTCCTGTGTGAAGAGCTTCTCATTGCGGCTCTGCCAAAGAATCCTCACGGTGACCCCTCTGCAGACTTGGGCTATATAACCCCAACCCCCAGGTTGAATGAGGGGCAAGTGTCTGAGCATCCTGACCGGATCCACGAATCTGTGCAGGGGACTACGGAGCCCCCGACATTGGCCCAGTGTTTCCTCCACTATTGCCAGATCAAATGAGAATAGGGGCAGTCTACCCATAGGTAGGTGAGATGAGGTTTCCCAGGCCCACGTACAGCTGCTGCATTGCTTAGATATAGGCTTGCCTCTTGAGGACAACCATTCTGCAGAGGGAACCGCCTGCAAAGCCTGTATCCATAATAAGCTTCCTGCCTTTTCGTCTGGGAGTTTCTGAAGTTGCTTCCAAAATTTTCGTAACGGGGCTTCTGAGATCTGATCTGCTGGGCGTTCTTTCCATCTTCTGACAGCCAGATCAATTGGCGTTTTTTGGACTTTCTTAAACCACCAGTACTTGGCCCAGCTATCGATGCCGAGCCTGGACTGCCCCTGTGCACTGATTTTCGCCGAAGCGCCGGGGTACCGTTTCGAAAACTTTATGGCTGGCGCTTCCAGCCATTTTGGTCCGGTACCCCGAAGCCCTAAAGGCGCGGCGCGTTAACGGGAAAGCGCTGCGGCCGATAGCTGGGCCAAGTACTGGTGGCTTAAGTTGGATGGCCCTCCCAACTTTCGTGGAATACTGACTCCGTGGGGTGAAGTCCCCTGGCTTAACCAGATCCAACCAACCCCAATTATACGGATCTATCGTGAAGGATGAATCTGGACGCCCCCCGGAGCAAGTTCCCTTACCCCCAGGGCCCACAGCAATCCATACCTTCACTTCTTGTAGTTCACCATCCAGAGTCACCTGTTCTTCACCTTGGAAGCTGAGAAGGTCCTCTTGTCTTGGCGTTCCGGCAGCGCTTCCAAACTTGTACCATCGTGTCCCCCTGCAAGGGGGGGCCAATCACACGCCAGAAGGTGGACGGACAGGAAGGAAGGGGAAGAAAGCCATGTATCCACGGCCAGATGTCTGTTTGGTTGGAGACACAGGATCCAAGATACGGGAATTGCTTGTTTCAGAGCTTCAAAGTTGTCGCTGATATTGCGGGCCTTAGGCATTTTCGCTCGAAGTGAGTCCACCGAGAGCCAACAATTCCCACTGCAGTCTCATTCCACAGGTCACTGAGTCGAAGTATTCCCTTTATACACCAAGAGTCTTTTTTTTTTTTTTTTTTTTTTTTTTTTTTTTTTTTTTTNTTTTTTTTTTTTTTTTTTAATACACCAAGAGTCTTACCAAAGTTTCTTGATGATGGAGCAGCTGAGAAAACCTCTCCATTCTGTTGCGGAATCCGAGGGTTGTCAAAAAGCAATTGATCGAGAATCTCTGAACGAGTAACCGGCTCCCTAACAGTGGAAGGGCGTAACTTGTTCCAAGCATACAAGATCTGTCGCCACAGTAACGACTGCGGGCGACGCTGAGAAAAGGACGGGAGGCAGAGACAGAGCCAAATATCCTCGTCATTCGCTAGATTCCAATCCGTGCCAAGCAGATATTCTGCGAATCTGATCCAGGCCTTTTGAGAAGTAGCCAACATTGCCAAGATTGGCCATTTATATTAGCTAATAAGGCAATGTTTTCTTGCTTTGGATCCAGAATCCTGAGTCCCCCCATCTGTTTGGGGGTGGCTTCCGTATCCCAGGCTACCTTAGACATAAAGCCCTGGTCTTCCGAGGCTTCTGGCTTCCACAAGAACCTTGCTGCACAACCGCGAACCAGTGTATATGTCTTGTTGCCCAACCAATGCACAGCTAGGACGAACCACAGCGTAGAAAAGGCAGCAACCGACACCACCAAGGCCCGACCCACCAGGGAAAGGAATTTGCCCCTCTCCCACTTACCAATCTTGCCTAAAACTTTGTTTCCCAATAAATTGTCTTCTGTTTTGGGTGCAGTTGCTCATGGAGACGTGGGTGGACCCCCAGGAGTCTTTCAGATGCAGCTGCTGGGAGCGACTTCATGCCCCAATCCCCTTTGAAGGTAAATGTCTCGGGTAACAAAGCTACCACCGATTTAGACCAGTTGATCGATGCCTCAGATAATTCACAATAATTGTCCAACACCGCTCGCATTTCAGTCATGGAATCTACCGTGTTCTCGCAGGCGACCGTAAGGTCATCTGCGATGGCACCCCCTTTCCAATGGAAAGAGGGTGACAGGCGCAAGCCCTTTATCCGTTCATTGTGCCTGTACTTCTTGATTTGGTAAAAGCCTACGATAAGGTAGGCTGGGCATTTGTAGCCACGATATTATCTAACAAAACATCCAACTGAAGCACAAACAGAAAGGGGGCTACCGTCTTCCCCCGAACACAACGCACCCTCGTTTTGGCTGTATCTGGCTGGAAATATAGCTTGTATACATTCATTTTTAGGGTGCGTTATGTTCGGGGGAAGACGGTAGGGGGCAGCCATGGCGAAGAGAGCGGGATAGATAAAAAAGGTCGAGATAGGAGGTCATTCGTATTAACTTTTGCTGAGGCCCAAGAGTACATTGATTTAACCATTTTACAAAAGACTGGACCAAAGCCCATACTATGAGACAGAGTCGTGGCTACAAATGCCCAGCCTAGCTTATCGTAGGCTTTTTCCAAATCAAGAAAGTAATATGGCTACTTCCTTTTTTTCTGCACTTGTCACTTCAAGAGCCTGAATTGTTGCCAAAATGTTTTCAAAAATCGATCTCCCCTTTACGAACGCTCCTTGTTCTGGACCTATCAGGGCTGGGAGGTATCGAGCCAATCTGATAGCCAGCGCTTTAGCGAGGATCTTATAAGCTACATTTAATAGGGAGATGGGGCGCCAATTGCGAATTTCTGTTTTTGATCCCATCTTATATATGTAATAAGGAGATGATACCTACTGATAAGCCCCTACCGAGGAAGACTTCCTTCACAGGCTGCGGTATTATAGATCTCAAACAAAAGCGGACCGATGACCTCCCAGGTAGCTGCAACTCTCTACCAGGAGGCCGTCAATCCCTCTGGACGTTTGCCAGTAGACATTGATTGCCTTGACAGCTTGGCATAGCTCCTCCTTGGTGAAAGGTCTGTCCAGGTCCAGGGGTCTGCCCTGCGTGGGCATTGTAATAATCTGAGTACGATCCCAAAAGGTGGAAGACACGGAAAGGTGGGAGACTCAGAGTCAAAGGACTCAGCTGGACGAACAGATGTTAAAATGTGTGAGAAATATTCCACCGCATAGTCACAACACATAGCACATAGAAATGCGGTGGAATATTTCTCTCCTGGTACGCGCTGAAGGCCTATCAGGAGAAAAGGGGTGAAGAAGTTCCCTTAATACTAAGTTAATAGTGGTTTGGTGCCCTGAATCAGGAGAGACCGAAATGTGAGTTTGGTCATGCGATCCTGGCCTTTCAGGCCCCTCACCTTCAGTCTGGCATTCCAGCCACTGGGTCTGACGTTGCGGTTTTTTTTTTTTTTTTTTTTTTTTTTTTTTTTTTTTTTTTAAATTAAACTGATCAGAACAGATACCACACTTAATCTTAGCCGATAGGCCGAGAAAGGTATTTACGTACCCTGGCCCAATAGAGATCCCCATATGGGTCCTGCCCCAGTCTGGCTTCTGCATCCCGGATTGCTTGTTT